ATTCAGCGGCGATTTAGCTGGTGATATACCAATTGATAGACTGACTAGAGCACTGAAGAGAACGTCTAATGCAGCCGACCTGTGTCTATTGTACTCGACCCAATCTATGGGGATTCCTCAAGTAAAGGATAAGTTACCTGGTTATGCCACTTCTATGGGTATCTATGAATTCAGCTGCTCCTGTGGAGAAAGATATTTTGGGAGCAATACCAGACAACTGAACCAAAGAGTTAGTGAACACCTCCCTTCGTTGTTAGGAAAAAGTTTGTCAAGTCAATACGGAGCTTGGTTCTTTAACACTTGATCGATAGCGGTCATAAAGTTGACAGAAATCAGTCATTAAAAGTCATTTATCGTATTCCTACTAGTTTTCCTTATGGGGTTAGATCTCGCCTCTTACACAAATCAGAAGATATAGGAATTCGATCCAACAATCCAAGTATTTGTGTTCATAAGAAATTTGTAACACCCTTATCTCTCCCTTGGCCTTAATAAATATTTTTTTCGATACTCTTTCTTCCTTTATTTTTCTTCACACCCTTTACAATTATTTCAACTATGGAAATATTTAATTCTCCACAAAACCCCTTCTGATCTATAATCATATGCTCACTAGTGACTGACTTCAAGAAATATTTCCTTGGGTTCTAATGGGAAGCAGTGACCAGGCGAGTTCTACCAAGTCTGTTGTATACATATCAACTCAGTGAAGACAATTGGTGAACGGTTGCTAAAAATCGTGGATTGGTTGAAGTTAGACATTAACATCGTTGGATGCAGGCCGGCTCAGTGGTCTATCGGTTAAATGCTCTGGCACGAGACTGGTAGGTCCTGGATTCGAATCTCACGAGTGCGAGATCGTGGATGCGCACTGCTGAGGAGTCCTGTGATGAGACGAAAAGGCCGTCCAGTGCTTCCAGGTTTTTGATGGTGGTCCAGCTTCAATTGATCCATGATTTCAAATGTGAAAATTATTTATTTATTTTTTTAAATATTCGCTTCACGGTCCAATTATCTGAACACTTCTCATTACGTAGTCTTTTAATTTTTATAAATGTTATTTCAGTGTCTATATTTTTCTTATCATTGACTTATTTCCCATTATGTAACATCAATTCAAGCCTTTTTATAACAACTAGTACACCTGTCATCACACTACCAATTTGTACTTTCTACTTATTATCATTATTAGTTATGTAATCTATTCTTCTGTTACCATTGATTCATAAACTGCCTTGTTTGGTTTAATAATTTTGTATATACCTATAAATATTACTGGATATTAGAGTAAAGCCTGATGAGGATCTAATCAAAAACAATATTGTTCGCTTATATATATTGTTCTGAATCACATATGGGAATTTTTCAAATATTTTATTCAGCGATTTCGAAATCCTTTTATTCAAGATTTCGACAGCCATATCCACAACCCTATTCTGAAATAGTTTCCTGTTCAACTCGATGTTTTTCTCTGAATGTTGTCTTGGTGTTAATTTTCTATAGATGAATCTAAGTGGATAGCTATTTCTGATGTTTATTCATCGAAGGTGAAGTAGTTCATCATCTATCATGTCAATAGAACATATTCGCCTGGTCTTCGAGGACAAATAATGAATTAGGTTTCTCTCTCTACTCTATGAGATCCAGCCATGAAAATTTGTATACTGACAATTTCAGGTTGCTTTTCTTACATAGATCTCTATGAGGAACCATCTAACCTTCCTTCCAACAGGACATAAAAAAATTTAATTCCTCTTCCACCCCTTTTAATGTGAATTGAATCGAGTGATGACAACTATTATATCTATTCAGAACTCCCTTGAGCTCCATATCTTCTTCACTAACAACGAAAGTATCACACATATATCTCTCAAATCACTGAAATCCTTCAATTAATGTTCGAAGTACCGCACCATTGCAACTCCATCAGTTTGTCTACAGAAATCATTGTTAAATCTGAATTGCACGTTGTGAGTACATCGTAGAAGTATCAGGGTTATAATTTCAATAAAGTCACATAAACAATCATGTAGTTTCCGTGAGAGAAACATTTGTAAAGTGAGGAGTGTCATCCGATGAGATCATTTTCCTACCATTTAAATTGATATTTCCAAATGAGTCGAAAAAATCAAATGAATCAAGAGAGTTGTATCTATTAATGTGAATTTTAACGGGTTGTAAAATATCAGCTAACCATTTAGCAACCAAATGATACGGGGAGTTATTCATATCAAGTATAGAACATAGGGAGACATAATTCTTATGAAATTTTGGTAGTCCATATAGTCTCGGTAAAATAAAACTCGATGGTCTAAAATGTTCATAGAGGTCGCAATTGATAATAGACTCATCCTTTATCTTCCTAAGGATTTTAGTTAACATCTGTTCCATTTTATCAGTTGCATCTATTTGAATGGTTTCTTTGGAGAATTTAACAGTATTGGATAATTTAATAGCATAGTTGTGAAGATCCACAAGGACAATTCCTGCACCCTTATCTGGGCGACACAGTATTAAATTCTGATTTCTCAGAAGATCAAATAACTTATTTTGTTAGGGGATCGTCTAGTTGTAGGCATTGTTTTTATATATTAATTACAACAGTCAACTGGAGTTGTAATGAATTGCTCATAGTCTTTATTAGATACTAGAATATGGTCACTTGACTGACAAATGAGGCTTTCAAACTCGATTTTAAGTCTGACTGTAATAATGTTAGTTGATGTATTATGAAATTTAGGAATAAGTGGTATTGATTGTAGCTGAATATTCTATGATATTACAGAGGAGTAATTGAATAAATACTTTTCCGTCAGTTTCACGTTCAAGTCCTCTGTAAGATTTTTAGCAACTGTATCAATATAATCTTTGAATCTAACATGCTCATTTTCCGACAAAACATATAGTGCATGTGTTCGTAATAAAATATTTCGTTCCATTTCTGATATTCTTGACTTAATTTCATCAGTATAATTCAGGGTGAGATGTTTCAAAGAACGGTGATTTCGATGGATATGGGCTCGACGTAATGTTTTGAAAACTGGTCTCTGATAATCATGTTTATCTACACAGCTTTGCGGAAAATCGATTCTGACATTCGTTATAGCAAGCTTGATGGAAGAACGAAGAAACCCATTGCAATTTTTCGGATAATTAAAATAACTAATTGTGTTCTTGAATAAAAATGAATAGAATTCAGGGAAGAAAATTTCTCTTGAGACGAAGTGATTTACTTAAGCTGTATATTAGTACTTGAATTTGTTTGATTAACTGCAATCAGTTACTACTATTAGCCTTTCTCAGGCTTATCACTTATTTATTATTGTGAACTTTACTTTTTTTCATTGTTCTTCACACCTGTCAAGTGGATAATTATCTTTCATAATTGCAACTGGTAAATTATTCCCATCCTCCTATTCTTCTCTACCTTCTGATTATTACGCAACTCCATTCGATATTTTAAATCTCGAATCATTTTATGATCTAATCTTTTCTGTCTTTCTATAGTCTAATACATTTACCCAACAACTATAAATTTAAATATACAGCTTAAATAAATGATTTCATTGAAAAGAGAATTTTCTTCTCTTTATTCTTCTTTCAATGACACAATGGTTATGTTAGTTAATGTAATTATGATTCCATACTGCAACACATAGAAATATACAATTAAAAGTTATCTAAAACTAGTTCTTTCCCATGAATAAATGTATACAGCTTTTTAAACTGACTAGCTTTTGCTTCTCACTAGAACTTCAGGAAATACCTCATTGAGTCAGCAATAGTAAGCATATGATCACTATTAAAAGGAGTTTTGTGGAGATTTTTTTGTAATTTTATATAGTTGAGATCATGAGTCAATTGAAGCTAGACCATAAGGTATTTCCTGGAGTTCTAGTAAGATGCAGTAACCAGTGGAGTATGACTAGGTCTATTGTGAGGTATCAACTCACTGATGACTAGTTTTCGTATGAGAATGTCGAATTTCAATCAAACTGTATCCAGAAATTAGATTTGATACATTTTGCATTTTTATCCTATTTTCCAGGTTAAATGAAATTTGAAAAAAATATCTCATCAATTTTTATCAGTCATACACATGGTAAATGAACCCTTGCTTCAATTAAATCTCTTTGTGGCAGTACTGATTAAAAAATTCGGTATGTTTATCTTCCGAAACTAAATATGTAGTTAAATGATTATGTATTACTTTTAAAGATCAAATCAATCGAAGAAATTACATAGTGCTATAAATAAATGTTTTAATCAATACATTGTAAGAAGAAATTGTTTCTCACTAGCATATTGTATGATATGATTTAATAGCTTGCAGCTAATTTCCAACATTTTATCAAACCGTTAAAGGTATATTATTGGTAGTAAGAATAAGTACAAAATCTATGTTCAAATATTTTTGATTGATTAGAAAATTGAAACACCCACATAAAATGTGTTTCGAAGCATGGAATGACTCAATTTAAAGAAAATTGCTTCACCATTAGACAATTACATTCCTGATAATTTCATAATACTGGATGTTAATACACAGTTTTGATGACTGTGTTAATATTTTAAAAACAAACAGATTACTTTAATAGTTGAAATCATCAGTCAATTGAAACTAGATCACCATCGAAAACCTGGAAGCACTGGACGGTCATTTCGTCCTATTACAGGACTCCTCAGCAGTGCGCATTCATGATCTCACCTAACGAGATTCGAACCCAGGATCTATCACTCTCGCGCGCGAGCACTTAACCTATAGACCACTGAAGTAAATGATGAACGGTTGTTCAACTTCGTGGATTGGTTGAATTTAGACGTTAACACCGTTGTATGACGGCTCAGTGGTCTATTGGTTAAGTGTTCTGGCACGAGACTGGTAGGTCCTGGATTCGAATCTCACGAGTGCGGGATCGTAGATGCGCACTGCTGAGGAGTTCTGTGATAAGACGAAAAGGCCGTCCAGTGCTTCCAGGTTTTTGATGGTGGTTTAGCTTCAATTGACTCATGATTTAAACTATAAAATTATTGAAATATCCACAAAACCCCTTCTAAAAAATAGATTATTACAAATAACATTACAGACTAATCTTAGCTAATCATTCATTTAAAACTGAGAAGGATCAAACATCTCTTTTCAATGATTATTTAACTGAAATCAGACCATGTAATTAACTCCCAAAAACTCCCTAAATAGTAATGTAGATTATATTTTAAATCAATCACATTGAAAATACCGATTAGTTTACTAAAAAGCAACCAATACTTACACTATTATAGAAAAAAGAAAAGTTTAAATATGAATAACATCATATCTGATACAAGATATCTTTATTTATCTTCTTTTCGTAAGCCGGAAAAAGATTTCCGTAATAAATGTTCCTGAAATAACAATAACTAATAGTCACAAGATTAAGTCTTCTATTTGTAGTTGCGTACAAAATCTAGATTATAAATAGATTTACAGGTTTGTAAACAAGACATGAAACACACATTATCACTGTATAACTAGCCAGTACCTGGAATTCATTGGATTTAGTAATAATGTGGCTCTCAACATAAGTAACATGTAACAACAATCGGTAGTGAAAACCCTGGCAGTAGAAAACTAAGAAGATCTAATTGAAGGGAACAGAAGAGAAAATAGAAAGGAATTATGAACTTGAAGAATCACATAGAATGTGAAGGACAAATTACAGAAATTTGCAAACGAATTATTTGGTGTTAGGTTCCTATATTTCACTAAGATACACAATTGGTCGTCCCCACCCACGTTCGCGTCCATAGCAGTATCACTGAATAAACTTCGTATTCTATCTATCATAGAAGAGTGACTTTGAAAGTGAAGAAAAATCACTATGATTAGACACAGAGCAAGATATTTGTTGCAGCATTATATACTTCTATATAGCTTATTAACCAGTTTGAATAAATAAAACATTGGCAAAATGAATATATTAAATGATAAGCATAATTCAGTTAACAATATCCATTACGCCACAGATAGCAATCATATTTCATTTGAACCATGTAGCCTGTCATTTATGGCACCAAAATGTTTGACTATTTCCTAACGTCTGACTTAATATATCACATAAATGACAGGAAATGAATTATAAAAATGTCAATGAAACTAATATTGTCAGTTTCCTTTTTTTTTAATTACTAAAACTGTCTCTAATAAAGTATAGGTAGTTTAGCAAAATGTGCATCAATGTCAAAATAATCATTTCTGTACATGCATCAAGTTGATGTTTGTTAAAATTATTGTCAATTTGGAATAGAGTGAGATCTATTATTACTTTTTTCAACAAATGTTATCTTTCAGATATGTTCAGTGGATGATGTACATTTCTTTGACGATATCATTTTATTTATACTATCTTAGGTTTATGGAAAAGGGATATACATGTCTGTTTAAGTCTACCGTTACCTTAAAATACGAATAAACAAATGCATACCTTGTGTAAAATGAGATAACATAACAATCTAAAATAAATTTACTTATCTGTTTTTGGTTTGATTTACTGATTTCCTAGAATAGAGATTCATGAGGAAGATATCTCAAGTAATTTCATATGTTTACAATAGTAGGGAATTGTCTATTTTTGTCTAAATTAATGTTATGTATGAATGGTGAGAGCATGATCCCATTTACTAATAAGAACAAAAATCCTCCAAAATAGTAAGGAATCTTATAAATGACAGACTAACGGACGAAGATTTACATCTGTTGATAAACTTAAACAGTTTATCTGGATAGGATAGAGTACACTTGGCTACATTGTGAAAACTAATAAATAATATGTAAATAAATAATAATCTATCACTCCTACACACTTTTTAACTCATATTGTAGATAATAATGACGTACATCCGGTTGTCTAGCCATCTATTACGTCTAGAGATGTCTTTGAAAACCAATTTGACTGACATAACAACAAAAACATACATACATTGTATATGTTTGCATTTTTAACAATCAGCATATATTCTGAGAAGTATAATTTGCCGCTATCAGACAAAATAATAAATTATTCCCGACCCTTGTCTAAGGTCATAAATGAATATTAATTTTTACATAAGAACTCAATACGCATGCATACACATACTTCATTTGAATTCATTTGTTCACTTTACAAACCCATATTCAGCATTCTAACATGACTTGTTAAGTTGTTTTGTAGCCCTATTCAGTAATTTAAGTTGTTACATTGAAGAAACTCTTTTCTGAGTGAAGAGAGAAAAGTCAGGACAACTTTTTATTTCAATCGTTAAAGATTTTACAAGTATTACTTTCATTTTTTTGACTACCGAATTCATATTCTTTTTAAATTTTAGATGTATAGCTGTAAGTTGAAATTTTAATCTCCAAGCCGAAAAGTATTTTCATCTGACCGGTATGACGGTTCCAGTTTGTTCAAAGAACAGTACAAGTGATATTTATCTATTAAATCAGGTAGAATAAATGACAATATATAAAATAACATCTTTTTCTTATGAATTTTATTACAGTTTGGTAATGAAAAATATCGACTACGGTTAAAAATTTATATTATTTCGGATTTGAAGGAAACTGCTAACCATCTGTTAAAGTATTTCCAAGTGCCATGATAATTAAAAAGGCAGTTAAATTCAAGAAGAGACGTAATAATTGAAAGTTAGAAGCAGTTTTTTTCACAAACGTATCTCAACTAAAGAGCGATCGATCAGTGAACCAATATTTCGTCGTTATTTTGGACTTTTCTTCTTGTGAAAATACATTCTCTCTCATGACACAGGTTACGATATACATGATCTTATTTTGAGTACAATAAATTCGAAATAAATGAATCGAATTTTTTATTGTATCCAATTACTTACTGTCCTGCTACTTACTTCACCGACTACATAGATCATCATCACAATTGATGGTTCAATAGATCTCAGATTATCTCGCTGGTGGAAAAGTAACTGTTATTTAAACTAATGATATCTGAAAATCACCAAAGTGTACAATTTGTTCCCAAATTGAATTTATCTTAGACAGAGATAGTTGTTATTAATCTCGTTAATCTTCAGCATTCAGCATAAATTCTATTTACAATAACAAGAATATATCATTAAAAGCTGGTGGTAGCGACGATAGTTTATTAGTGAATAGTAACTTTTAATTTAACCATTTGAGGTCTTCTTAATTATATGATTATAGTTTATTAGTTAACTAGTGATCTAATAAAATCGATAAAGCCAATTTAAAACCTAAATTCCCATATTCCGGCAAAGTTAGAGAAATTATAGTATGAATTAAATAAATAAACGGGATAATGAGTAATATGATTCTTCCAAAAACCTACTATTTACTAACCAATCATCTATTAAGCTTGAAATTGCATTGTTATCATATTTTGAAGTTTAGCCCATGACATCATTGAAGTTTTTTTTTAGCATAGTTCTTTTTTAAAGGATGAGTTTACTAACTCCATTCCCTACCTTTCTCCTTTATCCAATACCCCTTAGAAAGACTCTAAAAGAAGCTGTAGTAACTAAGTATCAGGTCACATTATGTTTCTTTTAGCCGTTTTTATTTTTTTTTCTATTTTAGGATTTGATCAATGCAGCAAATACCGCCATATATTTAAATACTCAAATCAATTCAATACATTATTCTTCAATATCAAATATAACAGCAATCAATAATTTTAGATTAAATAGTTTACCATTATTTGAACAATATATTAATTTCCATGGTACATCATTAATGTCTTATTGTTCACCTGTAACAAGTTTTCAATCCAATTTTTATTTACGTAATATATTACAAACATATGTACAACCATTTGTAATATTCTTTACAATTATTACAAATTGTTTAATATCAATTATATTAACTTATCCAACAATGCGTAATTCAACTAATATTATATTATTAGGTATAGCTATATGTGATTTATTAACGGTATTATTACCATTACCAATTTATTTATGTTTTTTAACAAGTGATATATTTACAAAAAATTTAACAATTTTCAAAGGTTATAGTGTAACATATTTAACTACAATACTTCCAACCGTATGTCATACATCATCAATATGGTTAACAGTATTATTAGCATTACAAAGATTTATTTATATACAATATCCATTAAAAGCTAATTATATTTTTATATGTCAATGGAAATCAGTACAATTATTAATTATATTAACTATATTAGCTGGTTTATTATTACAATTACCACATATGATTGTAATGCATTTTATTAATGCATTAGAATATTGTTTCTTGTCATCATCATCTGAATCATCAACACCAACATCATCACCGTCGTCATCATCATCATCATCATCATCGCCATCATCTCCAACAACATCATCATCATCTATCCCCATCAACTCATCTTTATCAATATCAGAATATTTCATTGATTCTCAATATATTTCATATATATTTAATACAACTGAAAATATAAATTATTATAATTATATAAGATTTCAAAAAATTAATTTAATGAAATGTACACCAATGAATCAAACAACATTTTTTACATTATTATTAATACGTGTATTAATTGTTAATTTAATACCATGTATTATGTTAACTATATTAACTGGTTTATTAATTATAGCATTAAAACGTTTTATAAAAAATAGACAAAAATTATTAAAAATTAATAATAATAATAATAATTCATTATCATTTTATAAAAATAATAAAAATTCATTGATTAATAATAAAAAAATCAATAAAATAGAAAAATTTAATCAATCTAATGAAAAAAATCAATTAAATTTATTAAATAATGAAAATCAATTAATTACTAATCAATCAATCAATAAAATTCATATAAAATTTCATTCAATCTCATTACCAACATCATCATCATCTAATACTAATAATACTACTATTAATAATAATAAATTATTACGTAATCATTTAACAGATACAGATTCTACATCTAAAATGATGCTTGTTATATTAGGAATATTTTTATTAACAGAAATACCAACTACAATATGTTTATGTATTTATGCATTTATTACATTATTTGATATTTATCCATCATCAGCATTTTATCAAGTAAGTAATGAATATTTTATTAATTAATAGAGTTTTTTTTAAAAAAACGCTGATTGTTAGATCTATTCAATATACAATGAACCGGAGAATCATATACTACTTATTTATATTCGATAATTTTAATGTTTGATTATATTTTCTTGAAAAAGCTTGAACCAGATTGTTAGGTGAAACGTTGAATTTACTTAAAAATTCATTCGTTGAGACTTTACAAAATATATTATTCTTCCTATTTAATGTCTTACATCAACTCGGCTCCCAAATACTGTGAAATTATTCACTCTAATTTAGATGAAAGTTCTTATACAATAGAGTGTTTTTTTTTCTTTCTTTATTGGTATATTAGTTATTATTTGTGAAAAGAATAGAAAATTTATTATTATATGTGATACAATCTTAGCGATTGAAATTTAAATAACTCCAACGTTTCGTCCAATTAACTTGTATGGACTTCTTCAGATAAGTTAGCTGAGTGAAACTTTCGAATTATTTAAATTTCAATCGCTAAGATTGTTTCACGTATAATAAATTATTTTAGATTAGTTTATTTTAAATATAATTTTCATATATAATGACTTCTCCACACTCGGCGCTTAATTTTTCCCAAACTTCTCGTTCTAATATTGACAATAATAATAATTGATCAGAAGGGGGTTTTGTGGAGATTTCTGTAATTTTATATAGTTGAAAGTATGAGTCAATTGAAGTTAGACAACCATTGGACTGTCGTTTCGTCCTATTGTGGGCTACTCAACAGTGCGCTTCCATGATCCCGCACGCTAGCGAGATTCGAACCCAGTACCTATCAGTCTCGAGTGCGGGAACTTAACCGATAGTCCATTGAAGAATAACTAATTCTTTGTTGCTAAATAACATCAGTGCTCGGATAAGTGGAAATAATTCAATTTTAAGCTTCTATTTATTTTCCTCAAGAATTCTTTTATCGTATTCATTAATGATCTCATTTAAGATAAAATTCAATCAATCTATCTTTACCTTGGCCTACGAATGGATCACAAGATACCTAAACCGAATATTATAAACCTTTACCCCTCTCTTTTTTGACTACCTCTATCTTAATCTTCACATCCATCATTCCCGAATCGTTTATCGTAATTACCATGACAACATTCCTCTTATTATGTATTATATTCACACAATCTTATTATGATTACTATTACTATCTATCATTATTATCTCAAATGACAACATGAAATTCTCCTGCTATGAGTTTTATTCACACGACTTTTGCATTTTCATTTTTGCTATATTACTATTATATAGATTGTGACTGGACACTTTACTACACATCATTTTGACCTTTATTAAATAACCTTTCTAGTTTACAAATAACACAATTTTGAAGTCTGTTGTGAAATAGTAACTCACTGATGACATTGGTGAATGGTTGCTCAATTTCGTGGATCAGTTGAAGTTAAACATTAATACCGTTGGATGCCAGCTCAGTGGTCCATCGATTAAGGGCTCTGACTCGAAAATGGTGGGTTCTGGGTTCGCATCTCGCGAGTGCGGGATCGTGGATGCGCACTACCACAATAGGACGAAACGGCCGTCCAGTGCTTCCAGGTTTTTGATGGTGGTCTATCTTCAATTGACTCACGATCTCAACTCTATACAATTTTGAAGTATATGTGTCGTAACAGATGCGAACATTCACCATTTTCAACATATAACATTTTCAAATTCATTATTACATGCCTCATGTTGGTCTTTGTACAATATCATAATTATGGACTTATGCTTGGCGGCCTGCTTGAATACCTGGGCTACTTGTTTCTGCCATCTAAATATGTCAACAAGTTATCTGGGTTTTTTAATTTTGTTTTAACTTATCATTATGTCTCTTAATCGCATAACCTATACAGGCGCGTTTATGAAAAGCTTACCTCCTTTCGCTGCAAAAATTACAAACAATTACAATAAGAGACATCATGGTGGTTGGCAATATGCTTTAAAGAGAATAAACATTAATCAAATGTCGATTCCCGAGCTGCTTAACTCTAACTGTCGATCACTGACTAACGAGGTGGACTATCTCCAATTTCTGCTAAGTCAAAACATGTATCGTAATTGTGGTGTCATCACCATTCAAGAATCTTGGTTGACTGACTTACAGGAAAATTGCTTAGTATCATTACGTGATTTTAATATCTATCGTCAGGATCGATCAAACAACAAAAAGACCTGTGGTGGCGGAGTAGCTACGTTTGTAAACGGTTACTGGTGTCGATCTACTTTTGCCTGTTTCAAGTTTTCAAATGACTTTATTGACTGTCTAACTTTAAGGTGCCGTCCAAAACACCTGAATAAATACAAATATATTTATGTTACCAATATCTACATGACTCCAGACTGCACATCATCTGCGCTATCTGGCTTCGCTGATAAATTTACTAAGTTCGCCGTTACTGCCTTCAATGATTCACATTCAATTGTATGTGGTGATTTCAATTCATGTGACTGTAGCTTCCTTACATCACTAGGTCACCTAAATGTGGTAGATTTTCCTCCTCGTTTGAACGCTCATCTAGAATTGGTTTTCATCAATGATGTGGATACCTATGTGACTCGCAAACGTGCTCCATTGTCTAGCTCGGATCACTGTATAATTCGTGTTCTACCTAAAGTATACTCTGCGGATCATTGTGGAACAATCAACCGAATGGAATTCATCACTCTACATCAACTTTATTGACTACGAGAAGGCATTTGATAGCATGGACAGGACGACACTATGGAGGCTTCTTCGACACTACGGCGTGCCTGAGAAGATAGTAAATATCATACGGAACACCTATGATGGACTAAACTGCCAAATTGTCCACGGAGGACAACTCACCGACTCGTTTGAAGTAAAGACTGGTGTTAGGCAAGGTTGCTTACTCTCACCCTTTCTCCTTCTCCTGGTCATCGACTGGATCATGAAGACGTCAACATCTGGAGGAAATCACGGGATACAGTGGAGAGGCAGGATGCAGCTTGACGATTTAGACTTCGCGGATGATCTGGCTCTTCTATCACAAACGCAACAACAAATGCAGGAGAAAACGACCAGTGTAGCATCAGCCTCAGCAGCAGTAGGTCTCAATATAAACAAAGAGAATAGCAAGACTCTCCGATGCAATGCAATATGCACCAATCAAATTACACTTGACGGAGAAGCTTTGGAGGATGTGGAAACCTTTACATATCTGGGCAGCATCATTGAGGAACACGGTGGATCAGATGCAGATGTAAGGGCGAGGATCGGCAAAGCAAGAGCAGCATACCTACAACTGAAAAACATCTGGAGCTCAAAACAATTGTCAACCAACACCAAGGTTAGAATTTTCAATACAAATGTCAAGACAGTTCTATTGTATGGGGCGGAGACGTGGAGAAATACGAAAGCCATTATCCAGAAGATACAAGTGTTCATCAACAGCTGTCTACGCAAAATACTTCGGATCCGATGGCCAGACACTATCAGCAATAAGTTACTGTGGGAGAGAACAAACCAGATTCCATCCAGTGGAGGAAGAAATCAGGAAGAAGCGCTGGAAGTGGATTGGGCACACCTTGAGGAAATCAGCTAATTGCGTCACAAGACAAGCCCTCACATGGAATCCTGAAGGTCAACGGAGAAGAGGAAGACCAAAGAACACATTACGCCGAGAAATAGAGACAGACATGAGGAGAATGAACAAGAACTGGATAGAACTAGAAAAGGAAGCCCAGGACAGAGTGGGTTGGAGAAAGCTGGTCGGCGGCCTATGCTCCATTGGGAGTAACAGGCGTAAGTAAGTAAGTAAGTACCTAAAGTATATGGTAAATATGGAAAGAGTACACACATACACTATACCAAAAAAGTAATATACAGGAATTACTAAGAAGAAAATTTACAAAATCTAAAAAAAACATGTTTCGTGCGACCAGCTGGGATTTATTTACAGATAACTCAATAGAAATCACCACTGATGTTATAAGCTGTTATCTTAAGTTCTGTTTTGATATTTGCTGTCCTACCGAAACCTTCTTTATAAGTCTTGATCGACTTACATCTCCACAACTAAAACGACTACGGAGGGTAAAAGAAAGGATGTACAAGGAGAAAAATACTACTGAAGTTCGTAAGTTAAATGGTCAAATAAATCAAGAGATTAGACGTCTCGACTCTATGTTTACTCAAAAACTCCTATCCTGTAAAAACTCTCCAAGTATGTGGAAACTCTTTAAAGAAATTACAGGGAACAGGAAGACTAGAAGCGATAACCAGCTGAATGTTTGTGACTTAAATAAGTCCTTTATACGTCAGTCATCTGACATAATGCTCCCTATATCCAAGGGTATGAAGAATAATTGTGTTTCCAGTTTCACTGAAAATGATGTTCGAAAATGTCTCCAGTCACTTAATTCATCCCAATGTTTAGGACCTGATGGTATCCCGAACCTCCTTTTTAAAAAATGTGCCGATGTTTTATGTTATCCATTAACGAATATCTTTAACAGATCCTTCTTAACTAATGTGTTACCGAAAATGTGGAGAAAGATAAAGATAATCACTATACCAAAGAAAGCTTCTGGTGATAAATATGAGAAACTTAGACCCATTGCAATAACTTCACCTTTCCTTAAAATAATGGAAAAATTACTGATACAACCACTTCAACCTGCAATAAAAGAGCACTGTGATCCATATCAGTTTACTTACAAATGTAAAAGAAGCACATTAGATGCCGTTGCTGTTCTGCATCACAATATAGTGTTCGGGTTGGAAAAGGGTAAGAAGTATGTTAGATGCGCTTTCCTGGACTTTACCTCTGCTTTTGATTCTATTCCAAGATACCTCTTACTTAACAAGCTGATCAGCATCGACACTGACAGCTGGATAACCAATTGGCTACGTTCCTATCTTTCTGGAAGAGAACAGTACACTGTATTTGAAGGAAAGTGTTCAACATCTCCACTGTCTAATGTAGGTGTGCCACAAGGAGCTGTTC